CCTCATAGAGTGTGGACGAATGCGTGAAAACTACAAGGGAAAGCCGCAGTCCCAAAAAGCCGTTGGGATATTGTAGTTATCTCGGGCCGCCCATCGAATTTATATGGTTTGAGCCTGAAAGCTGGTTGTGTGCCAACGCCAGTGTTTAAGGCGGAGCCATGGAGCTGCTCGTGCTTTATCAATCCTTCAAGAACTCCCGCTCGATGCATGTTGATTGGTACCGTCCATGACAGGGAAGCCAACATGACATTTCGAACTGTCATTCGAGACCTGTCAAGCCGGCTTATCGGGGTGGGGCAAAGAACAGTGCGGTCGGATGCTCTCTTTGAGTTCGGTTTCATTCATGAGAAATAACCTTTGTCATCTCGACTCCAATAGCCTATCAAGCGTTGTCGATTAGTTTGGCTTGTGCATACCGGGTCCTCGGACCCGTATTCGAATTCTCATCGCTCTCCGAAAGCAACTTTGCTTCTAAAGAGCTAAAATCATCTCGAAATCATTGACTTTCTGCGGAATGAATGCCTCTGGCTGGCGACGTGTTGAAAGTCCTAAAACGGCAACTAGTCGCGACCTCCCTAGCTTCACCGGCTTTGCCGGCAACTCAACCCATGATTGAACGTCTAAGAGGACACGGACCTTGCATATAGATATAAAACGTTCAGAAAGAAGAGGTGATGGGGATGCGGAAGATACGAATGCCTAGCAGCTAATCAGGAATACGACTGTGGACATCAACAACCTCAACATGACAGAAACTTATCAGTCTACCATTGTCCCCGACGGCAATCGTGCTACCAAAGATATCTCCAACCTCTACAGCAGAGTCGATCACTCTTTCGCTATTAAAGGAAATTTCCAAGGAAAACCACTCGTCTCCTCATGGGATCCCACCATCCAAGAAACTCTCTCCTCGCTTTTACGCTGGACGGGCTCCTACTCAGCCGAGTCGCAGGAGCACTATCTCAAGTTTGCGCGTGAGGTTGTGGTTCCCCGTCTCAACCCGCCTCGCGCGGCCGACTGGCCGCATTACATCGGAACGCACAACCATGGGCCATACGAGCTAAGCATCGCCTTTGCGCCTCATAAAAAGGCCAAAGTACGGTTTTCAGTACAGCCGCTGGCCGAGAGCCATGTGGTCGATGACCCCCTAGGGCAAAAGGATCTACGAAAGAAATGTGAAGATTTCGCGTCTGCATGCCTTGCAGACCGTGATCGACTGGATAACTTTTTCGACTCAATCTTCCTCACTGAAGAGGAGCAGGCCGGGCTACTTGAGAAGCATGCTGGTCGCAGTGACGCGGCCGGTGCGCTGCCTCAGCAAAATTGTTTCGTTGCGTTCGATCTCGAGCCCGTTGATAGCGGCAGCCCGGCTGTTAATATGAAGCTGTATTTGTTTCCGCAGCTCAAAGCTCTTGCAACAGGCAAGGACCTACTAGACGTCACAGAGTCCATTCTGAGACGACTTGCCGGTGGTGATAAGGAGCTGCTAGCATCCTGGCAAATGGTTCGATCATTTCTTACCTCTGATGGCAAGGATAATCTCATACATTTCCTTGCCATCGACTGTCTGGGGCCCCAGATGAAGCCTCGATTCAAAGTCTACACCCACACACATGTTAACTCGCTCGCCTCAGCCCGTCGTGTCATCACTATGGGTGGTCGTGTCCCCTCACCGAAGTATCTAGATACTCTCTGGCCCCTCCTTATGGATATGGAAGACGTTTCTCTGACTGATAGAGAGGGACTGCAAAAGTCTCTGCGCGAACCGGAAAGCAAGTACTGTGGGCTTAATCCAACGTTTGAGCTGGGTCCGGGCAACGCAGTTCCGGTGGTCAAGATGTACGTGCCTATATGGCAATACGCGCGCGACGAGCCCGGGATCGTGCGTCGCTACCAGCGCTTGCTACAGACGCAGGGTTTGGGGCATTACGATATTGAGGCTGCTGTTCAATGCGTCTTGTGAGTTACCTAATCTACTTCAGAAGCTCACACTCATGAACAATAACTGATTCTTTGAACATAGCGGCGATGAGAGGGATACAAGCCTGCATAACATGGCATCAATCGTCTCGACGGGAGGCGGGGAAAATGTAGCCTTTACCGCCTACCTCGGGCCAAAGTTCTGGGACTAAGCTTGGTCATCAATCTCTGAAATTTTGATTTTCACTTATTTTCGAAATTGATAACACGAAATATTCAGATTGCTATCTTCAAACTCGCTGTGGGAGTATTGGTGCCAAACTGAATGTGAGACGACCTCGGCAAGAGCCTCTGCACAACAGTTGCGGGAAATGATATGCACGCTTCCCAATACAACGACGCCACCCACTACCGTTCAGACATGGAATGAATCTTACCATATAGGTTTAGACTCAGATACAATTGTAAATTGATACAGACGTTTGTTTTTGTCCAGTCCGTGTATAATGCACTGCTTCATACTTACCTGGTGATAACCTCATACGTATTAATTTTGGAAAGGGGTTTCAACTGGAGTTCAAAGATAGATCCGGTCCTGCGCGTCTTTTCAAATCTTACATGTTTTACTTAGTCAGACTTTAGAATTCCCCACAAAAGGACTGACAGAGGATAGGACGCCTCAGTCCATCTATTGCACCATCGGGATCATATTCAGTAGATTAAGAGATACTGTGATAAGCCGCCACTCTTGAGATACTAATAGAGTAACAAATTGTCATTGTCCTTTAGTAGAGGGTTTGAGATGCTGTTGATCAATCCATACACTACCTGAATCTCGAGGTGGATTTGGAGGGCGAAACGGTGGGTCATCGCCAGGCTTCTTGAGGCATTTCTTTCTCGCAACACCCCACACCGAGCAAGGCATAGCCTTGATCGTCCTCTCCTTGGTGTAGTTGGTTCATCACGTTCGACTGTAATGGTTCATCCCTTGTCATCGAAAGGTCTCTAGTTCGATTCTGGAAGGAGAGAGATTATCTTTTTGCGCTGCTTGTGTTCCACGCAGAGCTACAAATCTCTCCAGCTTTACTTTAAACCCCATTCCACATTTTTTATTTGCCGGGGTAACCCAAATGTGTTCAGACTCATTTTTACCTGTTGTGAAAGTACGTATCTGTGTCCTGGATCAACTCGCACTCGATGCGATAAATAGACGGATTCCTCGCGTTTGTTCAACCATTGGAGTGAGTGGCGCAAGTTGTACGACTCTTTTGTTTCGGTCGTAGACTTTTAGTGGATGTAAAACGCATGCCTGACTATCTACTTTGAAATGACACCTACCTTTTCAATAGCGATAACCAGAGTTTCTGAGAAAGCGATATTAGCCGTGTCAGACCTCCCTACCTATATGAGTAAGGTAGGTGGAAATGAGCGAAGTAGGAATGTCACCAATCGCAGCAACTCTTGCTCTGGGGCCCCATGCCAGATACTGAAGTTTGGGCAACTCACCTGTGTCATCAAACAGATTACTGACAAAAATGCTTTGATCACGATTTTACCGCAGTTTGTTGTGGATGGTGTTGATATGAGTGTATCGACAGGGTACTTTTCCTTGTGTGTGGTTGAGTTGACATGCAGCTATATTGCGAATACCACTCTTGGTTTCGACTTCCAATAAAGGCCTGCTGGATAGTAGGAGCACATCTGTTGGCATCATTCGATCTGATTCTGGCTCCTGCATGTCGGTTTCATTCAAAGAACCCCTTACATCCAATAGGCGTGTGTGCCTATAGAAGTGCACCTGACACCCTCGCCTCTCCAACCGCGTGTTCCCCTCATTTCCCTCACTTCACGTGGATCTTCCCGTCAACAACTTCCACTCAGCCACGTACCTGCGCACTCTAGCCATGACCCGCCGCAAGAAGCGTACCACCAAGGCCGAAAACTTCGTCTACAGTCACGATGAACTCGTATTGCTCATCAAAAAACACTATCAACTGCTGATTGACATGGCTTACTTCGAGCCCGAGGATGTCCGTTGGCCACCGGAGCCCGCGGGATGGTCCGACGAAGACCTGAATGTGAACGCCCTGCAAATGTTGGGTCGCGACATCAAGGTCATTCAACTACTTCGACATATTCCTTATCCCCGCAAAAAGAACACCGAGGTCTATTTCGCGTCCATGGCCATTTCCTACCTACATGAGCACTGGCAGCCCGAGAACGGCCGCCGAGTCAACTGGTACAAGAGGTCGTTTTGTGCACTTGGCCTGGCGCCTTTTGACGGTCCAATGCCACCGCATCTCATCACCCTGACTTGTGAGGAGTCGGAGATAGGAATCACTTGGGTAATCGATACCGATCGAGGTGATATCAAACCCTCCAAGCTTGCCAGATATCTACTGATCCACTGCGTCTCATCTGTCAGGCTGTGTCTATCCTCACGCGGATGAATACTACTTATTCGACGACGAGCCTGCTGAGGTCGATGAACAGCAGATGTGGTGGCTCAAAGCAAAGGCTCTCTCGTTTAAAGAGTTCTTTGACAAGATTCGAACCCAGATTTCTTCTTTAACACTTGTGCCGGCTCCTGCGGCGGGAGATTTCGGGAAGAGCATTTTGCAGAGCGGGGACTCTGGATCGGAGGTGAGCGTACACGTGCATCAACCGGTGACTTTCTCTCCATATGCATAAAACATGAGTGCTGACTTACCTATGGCATCTCCTAGGGTATCAAGAACTTGTATTATGGGTGCGGCTGGCCAGGGCCTTTGCGTAAGGAGAAGTTCCTCCAGGAAGTTTTGTCAGTGCGTGAGGCCGGTATGCAAGAACTATCAAGTCAATATGATGAGTTCCAGAACTCTTGACGCAGTCCTGGCATACTTCAATGTTATTGAACTAACCCAAGTTTCGAGTAAGGCAATAGAAATCAGGCACCTTTTTGAATAGTATGATATGATAACTTGTCCACTTAAGTCTGCTTAGAACTCGGCTTAAGAAATGCAAAATGTGAGCTCGCTCTAGAAGATATTATTTGGGTGACCTTTTTGCACTTGTCTTATGATTTGCTGTTCCCATATCACTTAACTCCTATCATCTTGCAAAACTTTGTTCCGCGGTGGGCGTTGCCATTCCAGCGTGATGTTGCCTTCCTTTCTCTCGTTGCGGCGTAATCTGCTCCAATCCGTTTTCAGCTGGACAGTTTCATTTCCTTCCTTATCAACGGCGGTGTACTCTCTTCTCGGAGTTTGGAGCGGAGGCCAGTCTATTGGCTCTGGCGCTTCCGTATAAACAGAGATACCTTTCTCTTCCCGCCTCCTTTTCACCCAGCGATTGAGATATGATCGATATTCCGACACCGGATGGTCGAGCTGTACCTCTGGATGCTTGGGCCATGTGGACAGCCCTTGAACATCATCCGGGTTCTGTTCCTCGTGGGGCACATGCCTGAAATGGTCATCGCGAGTAATGATCTCGTACAGGGTGAAGATAACATCATTGACATCGTTCCGATTTTCGATATAAGAGGGACCTCCGATGCGGCCCGAGAAGTTGAAGTCAAACAGCTGCAAGCTATCTGTCGACGGATCGACTAATAGATTCCTTGCAGCAATATCTTGATGCATGATGCCGTGCTTCAGGTTGAGAACGTCCACGACATTAGTCAACTGCTGGAACCATTTGAGTTTGAACACGCGGGATTGGTCATCCTCAAGTGTTCCGCCAGGAATAAATACACTTGTGAACCCAACAACGCGGCCCTTCAGTTCATCCACCACCAGCCGATCGAAAGGAACAATAATTGGGTGCCGAGGAAGACGCATCCACAGATTCAGTTCATTCCAAATCCTTTGAATGAACTGGAAAATAAAGTAGTATTTGAAGACGACTTTCTTTGGTTCATTGTCGTTTGGATGTGGCTGTTACGACACAAGATCAGTGTCGGGACCGAGCCGATCAATTTCCTTGAGCTCAGAGCGAATGATTGTCCTGATACCCTCAGGCCGTTGGACCTCCTCTAGAGGCGGATAATATACGCAAAAAGTTTCGTCATCTTCGGGGTCGTTGGACATGGAAATCAAACTCCCTTCTGGAGAGGCTTTGATTGCGTACACATCAGCCGGGAGAGTATCGATAATTTTCTTGAGGATTTCCACGGCTAGATCCTCGCTTTCTTGCTGCCCATCCATGGTGACTGCTATTATTCTTCTCTGGTCATCACTGAGAATGTACCATGTACTGGGCCCTCCGGGAAAGATGGCCCCACTTGGAGCCCAGTACTGAAGCTCTGGATTGGTCATTTTTTGCTGATATGTGATGATGGCTGCTGATGTGGTCGCCACAACGACGAGGCAGGATACGGGGAGTTAAATGAAGGAAGTGCCAGCAATTAAGCGGGTCGATGACTCAAGATGAAAGCCTTGGATAGATACTCGGGGTAAAAAGGACGGCCGAGGTGGGTGCAGTGGTTCTCACCGGTCTAGTCCAGGTAAGTAGATCTGGAGCTGTAAACAAAGGGCAAAAACGAAGCAGGGACAGAGTGTTGGGGGTCTTACGGAGCGGGGTAAACGGAGTTGGAAGAACACGTCTAACATTCTTTGTCTCCTCGCTACTCGCGCGACTGGCCACTTCCAACGGCGGCGGCCAATCCAGCTCCTTCCTTCGTAGTACTGCATGTTGGCACAAGTCATAGACCCAGCAAAACTAACCAGACCAAGAGAATGGTCATCCAAAACGCATACTTCTTGGCCAACATGTCTAACAGCACAGTCAGTAGACAAAGCCAAGGCATGACTTGCAAATGTCTTTGAAGTATGTTCAAATTCAGCTGGCACTTATCTTGACCGAAAAGGCTCAATTGCCTCGTTACAAGGTGGGCGCAATTTGCTCATGTACTCATCATGTTGCCTTCCTGCCCTTCATCAAATTCCCACTTTAGATTCCCACTTCAGATTTCTCTTCTAGATTCTCAACACGGCGCTTGATACCTCACCTATTTTACCTAACACTATTCGCACTATAAGAGTTCCCGGGATCTAGAATGTCAGAGATCGAGCCAGGCCAAATGGGGGATAAGGTTAAGGAGGTATTAGTCAGACTCAGGCATGGTCAAATCATAGCCGTTGTCGCATCGCATAAATAGTGATAACGGCAATGGATTATTTGTTTGTCCATCCATTGCACGCCCAAATGGGTTTAAATTCTACATGGCAACTTGGCCTACGTAGTGCGTGGATTCATTGCAATGCTGATTTCATCAGAGCCCTTCATAAATTAAGAGGCTCTGAACACTAACTCGTCCAAACCCACGACTACGTAACATCTGCCTGCCACGATGGCACGGGAACTCAGCCACAGTCATCACACTGGTTCTCTCAGCCTCTATTCCTGCTTTTTTTAACAGCTCTAGAACCGCGTACACTGTTTCTCCAGATGCGAACACGTCATCCACAATCAGAACTGACGTTGCACTCCGAATCACATCTTGATCCATCTCAAATCTTCTCCCTCCCAGCATGTTCGGCCCCGATGAGATGTGGGACACAGACTTGGCGACAGAAACAACCGGCGGCGGTAGCTTGCCGGCCTCTCGGATCGGGACCAAGGGTAGACCAACCTGCAACGCCAGGGCTGACGCAAAGATAAAGCCGCCCGCCTCGCAGCTGATAATGGCCTTGACATTTGACCAAATTCCCGTGAAGTGAGACTGGAAGAGAGAGGTGCATAATGCCAGACCACCCGGTGTCTGGGCAATGTCGAGGATGTGGCGAAAGTCGATGCCAGGACTTGGGAAGTCTGGTACGATACGCACCATATCGCTTAGCCGTTTTAGGTCTTGATGTATGAATGGGAAGAGACGATTCTCTGCGAAGGCTCTCGCATTGTCACTTCCCGCGATGTTGTTGTGGAAAGACAAGTTGGGCCTGCAGTCCCTTACACGCGTTGCTCGCTTGCCATCCTCCTTCTGTGAGCCATCGCGACCTTCTGTGTCATCGCAGAATCCTTGCCGAAATTGTTTGACACCAGATCCGGCGCTGATCCGAACCTCAATAAGTCTGCTATTCGGCACGAGGTGGCTCAAAGTTGCGACAGGTGCCTCATCCCTCATGCCTGTAATGAGCAGTACATCCGCACTAGCAGCGCCGTAGACAACGTTTAGGAAGTTATCCACTGGTAGATGAGAGTTTTCACGTACGCGGTCATGGAAGAACGCCGTCAAGCCCGGCCGGTGCTTCTCTTTATACTCTCGGTCGCTGAGCAATCGATCTAAGTCCACACCCGCAACCGCCGAGAACTCCCGCTTGATGGTGTCGCTTATACTGGCAACACGCGCAATGTTGCCACATCGGTTGAAAAAGTCACCCCAGATCTTAGCGCAGTAGTCTTTGCCGGCACAGCTGTCCCCAGTAACCGCGATAATGAGGCCTGGTTCAGTTGGTCGCAGTGGAAGAGGGCAGGTGTAAGCAAGTACACGACGTGGATCTGCAAGACATTTGAGGCGAGCTAGACGAATACCGTTTGAACCGAAGGCTCTAGCTGCCAGCGTTGCATCCCGGGGATCCGGTCCAAGGTCGGCACCGTAAACTCCGGTACTGAACGGTAGCAAGGTCTCGGCGACGGTGTAGACCCACTCCATCGCCACCCGGGCAGCAACAGATCCGTCTTGCGCGCGGGGCCAGACAACGGTGATGACGCAGGCAAAGTCCCAGTCACGGCAGCCGAAGGCGGTGGCTGATACCGGCACGTCACGGATTGCTCCGCCGCCTTGGAGGAGGTGAAGGTAACTGAGCGGAGAGGGGCGAGTCCGGACGGCTGATGCTAACGCGTTTGCAACCATGGCACTTCCGATATCCTTGAGAAATAGGCAGCGTTTGAACGAAGATGTCTTGCCTCCAGCGTGACCGCCGTGCATAGCTGACATGTACATCTCAGTCTCAAAGAGGCTGACGCTGTCAACGATCTTGCTGTTGTGCTCCGGACCCAGAATCGTGGCCACGGGTGTGGAGATAGGCATGGGTGTTCTAGGCACTTCCCCAGCAGTCGAAGCTTCGTACATGGTAACGCCGAGATGGAGTTTTCCAGTGTCCCAGTATAGATAAGCGTCAGCAGAATTATGCCGAGAAAGTTGACTGGCAATACCCCGGTCAAACTCGGCAAGCTTGCCTTGCGCCTCATCGCCGTCACGCAGCGGTATGACCCAGTTCCTGACCAGGAACGCTGGGGCCGGCTGTGCCGCAAAAACAACGCTAATGACGATCCCAAAGTTGGTTCCCGCTCCTTTGATAGCCCATAGCAGTTCTTCCTCGTTCTCTGGGCGTATGGCACCGATTGGCTGGTGTTGCGCAGGTACATGACCGATGCATAGAATCTTTGCCGAGTTGACGCTGACGACAAGCGCACCGACAATAGCGTCACAAGCGAGCCCGTGAAGCCTGGACAGATGTCCGATGCCGCCCTGAAGCCACAAGCCTGCTCCAACACTTGGCCGAGACCCCAGAGGCACAGTGAGCCCCTTTGCCATGGTCTCGCGGATGATGTCTCCCGTCTTGCTACCGGCACCGGCCATGACCAGGCGCCCGGCTTCCCCTGTAACAACATGGACATGATTGAAGGCGCTCATGTCAATGGCGACAGTTTGAGGCCAGACGCAATGACCGCTGTGTCCACCACCCACGACTGTCAACGCAGTTCGGTGCTCCAAAGCCCATCGAACACACTCCTGAACTTGATGAATGTGTCCTGGTCTGATCATAGAGGCGGGACAATAGAGACGAGCTTCCCGGTTCTTGACATGCACGTCCCCAGCAGTTACCGGCAACTGTGAAGTCAATTCTGGTAGCGCGGTCGAGTGTCGCGAGAAGGTCATCATGATATCAGGCGCAGCGAAGACGAGGTCGTCAATGTCGCGGCGGCCGACTGCGCGGCAATTTTCCCGCCATTCTTGTAGAACTTTGTCAGACTTTGGCACAAAGCCTGCAATGAATGAGGCGAAAGAGTCGAGCGAATCATTGGTGTCTGCCACGCGAACTTTACCGGTCGGGAAGTTGGAGGTTTGGTGAGTGACCAGACTGGCCAGGCCGAGCGGGCCTTCTCTATGGAAAAGTATGGCTCTGCTGTTTGCTGTGTGTTCGTCGAGAAGATCAAGTGCGGCACAGATATAGTCCTCTTTAGGGGTCATGCCGTACATGCTGTGACAAAACAGAATGATATCAAACTTATCGTCTCCCAGGGCCTTGACTGAATTCTCAGGATCGAATGGAGCCTTCCTAATGTCGGGGCCCGTCTCAAGACATGGCAGGGCAGCCTCCTCAGTTGATAGAAGGCCTACTTCTAATCTCGAAGCAAACAGACTATTTGGCTCAAAAGCAGTGTACCGTTTGATCTTTCGCTTCATATCATGGGGCAGATCTTCAAGCACGCTCCGCGGTCCAGGTCCAATCTCTAGAACCGAGATGCCCGAACGCGAGCCAAGAATTGGGTTGAGGACCTGACATAGTTGAGGGAGAATGAAGTCTCGGTATGTAGTACATCTAGAACCTGGTTCAAAGAAGCTAAAGCCGGCACTGTATTGTGCATCAGATAAGGTCTGGGGTGATACATGTACTGATCCATGGGATGCGGCCTGTTGCCTCAAATGGCGCTTGAGAGATTTCAGCGTTGCCATTTTAAACGTCGATGCACGTGCGAGGCTTCTAATTGTGAGAGAAGATGTTGTGTCAATCTTAAGGAAGCAATGGGGGCCATGGCGCTTTATACAATACAGGAATTGAGCGAACAGGCTGGGCGCTGCGGCGGCTTGCCGCAATGTTGAAGTTTGTTTTCTGCAGTTACGTCGACGCGGGGTCACACAATATCCACATCAAGTTGTCTTTGCTATTATTTCAGTTGGCCTCCGGCATATGGTAGTTGCTATGGTGTTCTCATGACCAATAACTAGCCGGCGTCATGCATGCGGCATGCCGTGTCATGGTGTGAGTAATCTTTGCGCCAATACATAGCCCGGGTGTCCGCCGATCCCTTATGTGAGTTTCGACTGATCTCGAATATTTGTGTCACTTTCAGGCCTTGATTAATGAGAAAATAAGTAGGAACGGTTAAGCCAAGACTTCCTCCCACAATTCCGTTCAATTGACCGGCAGCCACACCAGCTTCGGAACAAACCCTGACATTTGCATATACTCTCCCTCCTCAACCTTTTTGCCTGTCTCTATATCTGTTACAATGATCCTCAACTTATCATCCCGGGTGAATTGATCCTGAAAACTCTCAGCGGGAAGAACTCTAGTTGCACTTGGCTTGCGACATCTGCCTTTGTTCGGCGGTCTTGAATCCTCTCTTCCTCGCCCCATCCCTAGCCGTGTGACCTGACCGATAAAACCGTGGTTTCCCATAGCATCTGAACACGTTGAACTGGTTCTAGGGTGAATATGTCTATCCTATAGCTGGATACGGTGCATCCAACTTCAGTAAAGACAACATAAGGAACGAGCCTCTTGGGCCAGAACTGTCGGGAGAGTCAATGTCGAAAGAACCTTTCTTCTTACCCGGCAAACCACACGGCAGGACAATAGCTTGTCCCCCACTTGATACAGCAGAACGAATACCTTTCTCTTCAGCTGTTTTGATTGTGGAAAAATCAGAGCTTGCAGGCTCGCCATACATGTAGCCTAATGCACGTTTGTCTTTGGCCATATCACCAATAGTGGTATAGTGCCAGCGGCGCGTGTCATCATAGTTGATGCTGGTCCCATTGCTGATAAAAGGCTGCAGTGGGAACCGAGAAGTATATTGGTTCTCTGGGTTTGCGTCCATGAAAACACCAGCCAGTCGACCCGTGTTGGCGTGATAGGATAAGAAGATGGAGTCGAAAGCAGTATAAGTGTTGTCGGCCTAGCGTTGTGTTAGTAATAGCGACCAGATGAACCAGGGGCTAAACAGCTTACCATGTCGTTGCCAACCCAGCCATGAAAGTTGCCGTGAACTTGCTCAAACAGACCATCAAAGTCGAAACGAAACGAATAGTCTTCATCAGGCTGCTTGTCGCTGAAATCAACAATATTTGCCCACGGTTTCCGAAGTGCTGAGCTGATTCTAATGTTGTATAGGTTGATTGCTGCAGGGCATGGGATATTTGTTCATGGTAAATTTTGAATGGTTCAATCTTTTCTTTCCAACCAGGAGCTGTTGGGCCTTGCGTCAATATTGGATTCCGCGTCACGGTACTAAAACTACCCGGTCCATCTTTTGACATTCCGTCCAAGGCTTTGGCAAAGCGAAGCGGATTCGGTCTGGTTTCGCCTCCCGGGTGTTGATAGGTCTGCTCAAGGAGCATTGGAGGAATTCCAGCGAACTTGGATGTTGCACATGCAGCTTCTTTCGCATATCCATTCCAATAAGGAATAGGGAAGTCGATCAATTCTTCCACATATCGCAGATAAGCTCGATGCCAAAGGAACGTGGCTTCTTGATAGTGAAGACACCATTATGCATCTACCATATGTGTTAAGCTAATTCCCTTTCATTCAATCCTGTTATTTCGTTAGGATATCAAACTCACGAAGAAGTCCCAAATCCTGCCATTTAGACCCCAGTTCCCGAGCGCCGAGAATGTCGTCTAGCTTGGCTTGGTAAACCACGAGTTCCTCGCGTCTGAGGCTCATGATGTCTTTCCTCACTCTGAAGGATATCGGAGGGTCATTTGGCTCAGGAATGACTTGGGCAGGGTTTTTTTTAGGCTGACAGTCGGAGTCTCGCGGGAAACCATTGTTTGCCCACATGCGAAATGTCTCGAGAGCACTCTCTGGCCAATAATGATCTGGGTTTCGAGTTACGGGCATTGACTTAGAGCAAAGATGTCTGTAGATACCAAGTGTCCTTTTTCTGACGTCGTCATAGTTGGAAAGGTCCCATTTGCCCCCGTAAAGCATTTCGTTTATCCACCTTTGACCAATTACCTCGGGATTCTTGGTCACCCAGTAAGGCGCTTTGATGGACGAGAGATGTCGTCCTCCCAGTTGGGTGTCTTTTGAACATCTTCCATAGATCCCGGAGACTCAAAAGTGGTCATCTTTGCCAATAAGAGAGTGTGATGAGTAAGAATTTGAATTTAATTAGAATGGAGGGAAAAACTGAAATCGCTACAGGCTGAGCGACAACGGGAGACTTTTGAGGAATGAAGTATGCGATCATGAGCAATCAGTAATCCAACATATATAAAGTGCGGGGTCCAAAGACATATCCTGATTGATAAGTCTGCCACCATTCCGTGCTATGAACAAAGGGTCACAGATAAGGCGCACCTCACGAGTTCCAGAATGGCTGGCATTGATACGAGTGGCGAGCTGAAATCCCGTCTTGGCACACGATATTCTCTTTGGTTGCATCATTGATTCTGCATAATCGATCAGTCGCTGAGAGACATACTTTCTATCAGTCACTCGAAAGTCTGGAACCGTAGATCTCCAGTTGCGTCTTAGGTGGTGTCGAGCTAAGCTAGGCCGCTGAGCTATCTGCAGAGTGACTATTGAAAGCATGTAGCTCGCCGAATACGAGACATAAGAACATGGCTGTATGCAGTTAAAATCCCATGAGGAAATCTCGCATTGGTTTATAGCAGACATCGTCACTGTAAGCTGATAGTGTAATGGGAAATACAGGGTCTTCGACTGTTAATCTTATATAAAGCAACAAGCCGTTTGATCCAATCAGCTTATATGCAGCTTCAGTCAGGGAAATATGAGCTTCAACATTGGCGAGTTCTTAAGAAGTTTCATGTTGGGGGCCTAACGAGTACAACTTTAAGGGTTCAATACTTGAGTGCAGTCAAAGCCATCAATCGGCAATTTCTCTCGGCTTCCTGCCTATTGGCTTAATAGATGGCCTTCGGAGTGATGGATTGGTAGTCCGGCCCGTTATGAGGACCGGGCTCTGGCATCCCCATATAGCCCGACGGTCCATTCTTTGCTTCTACTCTCAGATCCATTGCCTCTAGATCAGAAGTTGTGACAACCGCATTGAATTCAACCCTCGGGTCGCCCTTTCGATCAGAAGGTGTGGCAACCGCATCGACCTCTCCCATCATCTTGAAGAGAACAGGACTCCCCAAAACCTTGGGCTCGATAAACGGCTTCTGGAGGTACGGCTCAGTGTAGGTAAGTGCAGGCTGAGATTTTCCAGGCCACGCTTCTCCATCCTTCTGAGGCTCTGGCTTCGGGCCAACAACACCAGAAACGCTCATGAAGATGTAATCGGCAAATTGGCTTCCATAATGCACGTAGCGACCTCCGTTGTTTTGGTCAAAAAGATCGCTCAGATTAAGGTCGCGGGTATTGTCATCAGTCTTGAGACCTTTTGGAATAGATACGCGAAGATGAAGGCCCATGTTCTTGGTAATATCACCACGGTCACACCAGTCAAAGACCCCTTCGGGAACCGGGACCATATCTCGAACGTTTCCTCTTCGATTACCGGTGCGATCTAACAGGAAGGACGAGAAGTCTGCGTCGTACATGTACAGAGCGACAGGATCTTTGACAGAGATTGTGACCGGGATGTGACACACTGTATCGCGAGCCAAACGACAGACTTCGTTGACTGCGGCACCAATCTACAGATCGTTAGCCTCGAATAGTTCTCACCGAACAGCAACAGAGTCTCTCACAGTCGGGTCAGAATTCCTGCTCGGATTACCATAGGCAGATCCATCTCCGCAAAGGGTAAGCATGTTGGTAATAGGTTCACCGTATACCAAGTCGGTCCTTGTGACAGTGGCTTGAGCAGCGATGTCAATCTCGGCACTAAGGCTATTGTTGATTTGGATGAGGTGGGCAATGGTGCCAGTATTGGTGTGGCCATTCCACCTGTTATAGATGTTGTATTTACCTTCGTCGTCCACTAGGTGATCTCCTTTAATCTCATGTGCAAAATCGGGGTTCAGCTTCTTATAAATGTTGAGGATCTTGTTGTTCCTCTCATGCTTTTGGGTTGCTGGGTTCCTAATGGGAGTTTCGGTCAGAATGGGATTATACTTCGCAAGTTCTTCCCAGTACTAGTCATCAGTCAGTATAAAGATCATCCTTGTAAAGAAGAATTGGCTGCAACTTACCTCTGGACCTTCGCAAGTGAAGCTCACAATCTGAACATCTCCATCAACCTTTTTGGTAGACCATTCCAAGTATTCGTCCATCACCCAACGATCCTCCCTTTGTCGAGGTACCTCAACAACTTCATCCTCCCCCGTCTGCTCGTTCTTCTTATGGAACTTCAGAATCTCAGGATCCAAGCGTCCTGGAGGAGCTCGCTGGTTCTCCGGATCCTTCGCGTATGCCCATCGAGCGTCATCCGTAGGCTGCTTAATTCTGACCTGATAACCGTTTAGACGAGTGCATAGAAGGCTGGTGAATAACTTGCATTCAGAGGGAAGCCAACCCAAGTGATGGGTACAGGCGGCAGAGACGAGTTGTAGGCAAAGTGACGAGGGTTGAAGAACTGAGTAAGAATCTTCCTTCCTGGGAGTCTGCCTGCTATCTCGTCACCGAACCAACCGTCAACAGTCTTGGACCATCTTTCAAGCTGTTCACCCTCAAAATCATCCAAGAAGGCAGGAGGATGAAACTTGTCGAGCTTTCTGGGTTCAGACATTTCGGCGGAAAACTGACGACAGTGAAGATGGGAGTACGTGAGAAGCGGAAGTTAACTTGTGAAATGAAGTGCATATCTAAAGAGAAATGCCATTGCTCTATCTTCTGGACATGCTCGAATACTATGAAAGTAACAATCTTCCTACAATTGGCCGGAAACAATGTTCCGAGCTATGTGATACACCATGCATACATTTGTTCCAGATTTTCAAGTCTGGCCGCTCTGAGGCTGGCTGAGATCGAACGGCTGATGAACCTAGCCTACTGCATTTCTGCCATCTTACAAGCTCGTATTGAGACACAGTCGTTGACTCTGATATGTCTCATCATCACATAGCGTACGTTAACGAATCAAACGCTCATCGAGAGTTGATAGTGCAAGATAGAGGCTTACGTCGTCACAAGCCTTTACCCATGCTGGGAAAGGTTATGTCTGGTCCATAGTCTGGTGTATGCGGGGTATCGCCGATGTTTTTGGTTACATATCATAACCCACAAGCTAATGAATGGGCCGAGCCTAGCCTCTGACGGAAATGGAATTCAGCCTCTCTAGAGCAAGCCACAAAAGGCTCGTTCGCTAATCGGACACATTCAACTGGTTACGAAGATTCAGCTCAGAGGACATCCGCATATTTGAATCACACACTAGCGTTTCTTAAGGCACTGCACATCTGTATCGCTGGCTTCAATTGCCTCTAGAGTGAGACGTGATGTGATGAAGCTTGATGGGGTTGCTTGCAGTGTATCAGCTGTCTCACCAATGCACTTGGCTACTCGCGTTCTTTTGCCCTGTTCCGGTAGACATCCAGAGTTTTGAACTCAATATAAATCTTCAAGCGCTTCTTGCCACACTTTTGCAGCAACTATTGTCCCATCACTCACACAAGACACAATGACTGACCCTAAGCGTGGGAACCATGAAGATTTCAACCAGAAACTCTGGTATCGAAAGTTCATTCGTGGAATAAAACCACAGACAAAAGAGCCGTATCCTGATGAAGACACGCCCGCCACGCCTGAACAACTCAATGCCGACTTCATCGATTATTGGGGCAAACGCCTAAAGACCGATGAGGCGTTCAGGAAGCACAACACGTACAATGAGCTAATGACCCAGTTTTGGAGTAAGTGAAACTTTCCCGTCAGGACTGATTGACTCTAACGTTAGGCAGATGATCCAGACATAATCCTACAGACTTACGCCGTTGCAGACGGTCAAACAGTCCCAAGGAACAAACAGAAGTCATGGTTCAGATCCGAGCTTCGTTTCATCTCCGTCATATTTCCCACTGATGCAAACCATAAGAAAGATGGCAAGGCACCAATCGGATCTGTTTCGTGGGCGCCCTGGTTTGTGCTTATAGCAGCGTAAGTAAACGGGTCAACAGTTTGCCGTCTTTCCGGCTAACACTTCAGCTCCTCTTTCATCGACTCCAAAAAGGATATCCTCCACATCATGAGTTGGTCGCGTGATGATGGCCAATTCAGGTACTATGCTGTAAGTTGATCTTCATTTCCTGTTAGGTGTTCAAAGCTGATGGAGATGGTAGCGCGATCTTATCATGAATGATGAAGCCAGAACTCAGCACGGCTGGGTATATCTCTGCTCTTCGATGGATGCTTTCGATGCTCCAGGCAAGGCATATCTGGGTCCTCTAAATGGTCATGTCAATGGAGGAATCGTCATGAAAGAGATCCACAAGTAAGTTATCATCGGGCTGATATAAACCAAGGAGATTGCTGACGCGGTCATAGGCCTTGGATGCACTGGCTCGTTGGAGGTAGAGGAGTGACAGATCTTCTTGGTGAAGAGCTCATTCCAAAGCTTAAGAAGGCGAGCTGGCTCACTCATCCTGGATTCCCCCCTCTCTACGGTGCAAGTGTGCAATCTGGTGAGACTTTCGAAAGAATAGTGCTGGACTCTGTCAGAGTCTGGTTTACTAGCCGGCGGAACAAGGATTTCTCGACGAAGAAAGGGGAGACTAAAACATGCCCCGATAACATACAGCGTTGGGCAGCACATTTTTTCCTGACGACCAACATCAACATCGCTGCTACATCCAACAATGCCAACATTGTACCATCAGATCACTTCTTCAGCTATGAAATGCTTAGAGGATACAGCGATCTCCTGGTGAGTCATCTTCATTCCACTGCCATTTCTTCTCGCCGAAAAGGCACACCATTTGTATTGTACTTATTGACAACTCCAGCCAAATCGAAGTCTTGATGACGACAAATGGCTAGCTGCCCATATACTCAAGGAGACTCCAGCTGCATTGACGGCCTGGAACGAAGAACAGTTCAAAAAGGACAAAAATAAGTACCTGACTCAAGAGCAATGGTTTAGAAGGTACTCCATTTCATCTTTCAAGTATGACGGGCCGTCTTATCTCTGGGCTTCGCGGGAACTCAAGCTCTGCACCTTACAGGAGGTGGCCAATGTGAAAGACGCACAACTTGTTGTTCCAGCGAACAGCCTTTCCGGTGGGATCTTCATGGGAACTCTCGAAAATGGCAAAGAGGATATTAATGGAGGAGCCCCAGTCAACTTCGCCGTTCAGCAATGGGGCGAAGGGGATAATCCTTGGGTTATCCTTCAAAGCTCTGTGGATGATGCGCATGGCGTATGGACTGCTCAGAAGATGTTCTTGGGAAATGACAAAGACTCGGCACGATGTCAACTCTTTTCCGAGAAAACCTTCAACGCCTTGCAGATGGTTGACTTTTGGAATCCGATTTATTCCTGGAGACGTCTCAAGTTGATGCAGTACATCCCCGTCGAGGCCGAACTCTTGGATACGCCGACAACCGACCCAATTACCGGTGAATCTGTGTACAGTTACAGCCTCGAGAAAAACTTCATCGATGCTATCCGGAAGAGGATGGCCGACAAAGGGGACCTGGACAAACTTCAAGACGAATGGCCAGAGGCTGAGTTCCTGTGCAACTTGGACAAACCCCTCATTGAGCATCAAATTCGGATTTCCAACTACACCAACAAAGTGGCGGAGAACTTGAACGAGGCGACCTGGATTCTGGAGTATTTGAAGCTTGCCGAGTCTCGACGACGCATGTTTCGTCCGATGCCAATGAACTTTTTCGGCAGCAATATTCCATACTGCCTGGCCATGCCGTTCAACGATCCATGGCTGGAGATGACTGAACAGGCTTCCGTACGACGAATTCCTGAACGGGGTGTTGACGTCTTGAAGGCCTGGCTGGGATCGCTGGCTGGTAGCGATCCAAAGGTTATCCCCAATCAGAGTCTTGGGGATCTTAACAAACTCATTAGCGACCGTGCCGAAAGTGGCGCAGATGGTTTGCCGGTTAAACTTTTGCCTAGGCCGTCGACGATGCGAATGGCTTGTCAACGTTACATTGCGGTGTCGAATCCTGAGACGTCAGAACGGCCTCACAGTTGCCCTTTCATAACGGGAGAACACTTAGCTTCCTTATACACATTAGTGGAAGCTTAGATTTAGTTACTGATGACGAAGTTACGTTATTAATGCGAGTTTTGCTATTGGGGCAGTACCATTTGGCTATTAGGGCAGTAATCCACTTTATTAGCCAATCAGAGCCTGCCTTCCGAACTCTAAATTTTTTAGGGCGAGGATATTCTACTAGTAGCTCCCGCTATTCTGCCCCTAGGCTATGGCTTGACCTCCGCTACCTTTGAGCCCGGAGCCTAGCTACCTATACCTACCTACCTACCTACCTACCTACTTACCTACTTATTATACTTACCTCTAACTACTACTTCGTTAACCTCGCCGTTGCTATTACTACCGCCGCTATTAATTAAAGCTATTCTTAACGTTAATATACCGTAAGAAGGGAATAATTATAAAGTTAACGATCCCTTTGTTTATTAGTATATTATTAATTATAATAAATACGATTATATAAAGTATAACTACTTACTTTATAACTAGCGCTTCTCTACTTTACTTAAAGTTAGAGTAGTACTTAACGAGGCTACTTACGAAATAGTAATTATAATTAAAAATAGTAATGCCTCGTAAAATTAACCTACTTAAATAAGTATTATAAATCCTTAACCTCGTTTATAAACTACTACTAGTAGGCTACTACTAGCTTTTTAAGTAAGTTAATTACCTAGCTAGGTAGTTATTAAGTAGCTAGGTAGCTAGGTAATTAGGCTAATTAGGCTAATTTAACAGAATCGTCGACTTAAGTTAATACGTTAACTTAGGCTAACGCGTTAATTACTATACTTTTTACTAAAATAATCTAAGTTAATTACTAGCCTCTAATTAGCCTAGCCTATTTAAATACTAACTACGCAGAGCCTAGCTTATATATATACCCGAGACCGGCGGTCGTGTAGCGGCCGTAGCTATACTTAGTAGCAGAATAGCGGGAGCTACTAGTAGAATATCGTTGCCTATTTTTTGGCCCCGCTGCACCTGCCCACGGGCTACACGGCGTAATTGCCCACGGTCGCAATTGCTTACGGTCGCAATTACGTAAGGCAGCTGCGGGCACGTACGGTTGTAATTGCCTACGGTCGCAATTTCCTATAATCGTAATTACCTACTTAATTACTTATTTAATCATCTTTTTGAATAAGCAATTGCGACCGTACGTGTCCGCAGTTGCCTTATGTAATTGCGACCGTGGGCAATTACGCCGGGTGGCCCGTGGGCAGGTGCAGCGGGTACAGGTGTGGGGTTATGGTCCGAGCCCTATGGCTGTGAGCCCTCATTGGTCTAAAAAGTGGGTTACTGCCCCAATAGCCAAATAGTACTGCCCCAATAGCAAAACTCATTGATGCACCCAACGAAGTAGTTGAAAATGCGACGCATCCCAGCGCGTGATGATCTTCACTCCATACTCTGGTCATTTAAAACAGCTAGAAGTTGCCTTCGGCGCGATCAATTATCACTTCAATTAGCAACGGTCCAAATCCGACCTTGACGGCAGTCTGAAATCCAAGCCGTTGAACCCACAATCCGAGCTCGACTTGAACACTTG